TTATGGAAAAAGAACAAAAAAATAGGGTTTGATGTTGAAACTATGTTTGCTTGTTTACATAGATTTAAAGAATGCCTGACTCCAACCAAGTCTGAGTGCTTTACTTCATAAAAAAAAAAAAAATAGACTAGAGACTAGACATTCACCTGTCTGAGACAGTATAGGTCAGTGATGGCGAGCCTTTTAGAGACTGAGTGCCCAAACTGCAACCCAAAACCCACTTATGCATTGTTGAGTGCCGGGTGGGTGTGGCCCATTGGGTGGGTGTGGTCAATTGGGTGGGCGTGGCTGCGGTGGTAAGGGCAGACTGGGTGGAACTAAAAAGTTCAATCAATCAATTCCAAATTTGCAAGATCTTTTTTTCCCCGCGAGAAGTTGAAATTGACTGATTGAACCTTTTTCTTTTTTGCACACGGTGGCGGAGGCCTAAAGGGAAAAGGTTTTATAAAACCCAGCTGAAGGCCTAGGACTGGGGTGATGGCGTGCGTGCCCACAGAGAGGACTCTGAGTGCCACTTCTGGCACTCGTGCCATAGGTTTGCCACCACTAGTATAGGTTCTGCTGCTTGAGCAGGGGGCTGGACTAGAAGACCTCCAAGATCCCTTCTATTCTATTCTATTCTATTCTATTCTATTCTATTCTATTCTATTCTATTCTATTCTATTCTGATTTTAAGTATACTGGGACCTGCAGATGATGTTTTGTTGAGGAGCAAACTGTGCAGGGGAAAGAGGCCAGCCTTCACAAAATTTGACTGAAGCTAAGAATTCCTCTTTAACAGTTTTCTTTCTTCTTAACCTTGTTCCCCTTATGTGTTCTTTTTGTTCTCCACACACTCACTGAAAACAGGCCAGATATGTCCAGAGGTTAAAAAAGTAAAGTTTGCACCCACAATATTGCAGTCAAAGCTCTGCCCCAAACAAAGATAAGATACTCCTACAGCAGGTTGTGATGTCAAAAACAAAAGCAAGACTAAGTAGCTGGAAGATTAGATGGTTTCTCCTTTCCCAACCTTTTCTTAGCCTGCAAATGTTTCTGGTTTGCCTCCACTGAAACTTTGTACAGAGTGACCCATATTTTGCATGCCTAAGCCTGTGGCATGTTAGAATATTCCTTTATCATGTGCAAGATTTGACCTCAGAAGGCTATGTTTAGGAAAAAGGGATACATAACCGTGTGGGAAATGCAAATAAGTGCATGTTCTAGTAGGGAAAATTGGCTTGCCAAATAGATACAATAAGAAAAGGAAAGAAAAACATTGTGCATAAAAATAGCTAAGAATTTCCTTGTGGCATCTTGTTTTGCTTAGGTTGCCAACTGAGACAGAAATTGTCTGGAACAGAAGTTGTGCCCTCACTCTAGCGAAGAGAATATTTGTTAATGTTGCACCAAACATGCGGGATGAGTATAAAGGTAGCAAGATGTGGAGCGTGACCTGTGTTTTTCTGTGGACTTTTGTGACTGCTCAAAGGGGGTGGTTTGGACACTATATAGATTTGTCAAGAGGCATCTTTACAGGAAGAGCAAATACCAGAAACCAAAAATTAACCTAGTTTAGCCCTATAGAAGGAAGCTTGGAAATGAGTAAGGCAAGGAGTGCAGGAAGGAAGAAAAAGCCTTAAAAAACAATGTTTTTTATTTTTATTTATAAACAATGTCACAATGTTTATTTCGTTTAGAAAACTTCATTCATTTATTTTTACTGTGCTTGGAGTGGTTCTTATTTTTTCCCCCCTCTTGCAAGCGGTTTCCATATGGCTAAATACATAGATTTGGTTTGTAAAAATCCCTCTAATTTGAGAAGGAGCTCACCCTGAATACAGGCTGATCGGAACAGGAAAGTAAAGTTTTATAGGAGTGGAAGACCAGAAAGAATTACAGCAGGAGAGGGAGAGAGAAAGTGTTTATCAAACAGCTGAGGCCATTCTCTTTTCTAGCCAGATATAATTATCAATTCTTAAGCAGCAAAGGACAAAAGAGGAACTGTCTAGACTATCTCACTTACAAGATATTGATTGTCCCAGTGGTAAACTGGTTAGTATAAGTGTATTTAGTTGGAAAGGTCATGAGTTTTAACACCTCGCAGAAAGCTATTCAACCTTGACATAAGTCAAATTATTGCAGTGTTGCTGAAAAAGACTTTCTAAGGCTCAGTTTTTCACCCCAAGGATATTTGTCTTTTATTCTTTGGAAGGATCCCTGTTCAAGACAAAAATTGCATGCATTTTATTTCTTCTGAAGAGTTGGATATTGCCCTTCTAGTCTCCCATTTTTGTAATAATAATCTCTTCTTTTTAAAGTAACTGATGTGGAGAATATTCGATACACGGGGGCAATTACTTGCTGTTGTACCAATGCGTGATGTAATTTGAATAAATATTGTATTTAAAATAAATTACATTTAGATTGTCCTACCTACATCCTTGACTGGATCTTGCCCATTTTGAGGTAGGGGCACTTGCACTGTAGTCAAAAGTCAGCAAAAGCTCTTGCAGCAATTTGTTTACACCAATAATACGTAGGCAAAGAGCAGAGGTGGCTATTGTCAACCACTGAAATGGTATGTGGGAAAGGCCTTGGGAGATGGAGTCAGGAGATGCTGCTTAGGGAATGGTCAGATAAGAGGCAGCATAGCCCATAGGCTGGATAGTAGGCTGGCCAAGATGCTTAGAAGACACTCTTTCTAATTTCTGAATCTGTAAAGGAGACAGCAGGAGATTTGTACTTTCAAATTTGCAAGATTGATATTAGCCTTATCTGATAGATCAGAAAGGAAATATAGCAAGATAACCTAATTCTATTTTATTGTGAAGCTACATGAGCAGAATCTTGCAAGCCTAAAAATAGGACTCTTTTGTCAACTCATTTACAGTCCAAGAAATTCCATCACTTTCCAAGATAACAAAGGACATCAGCTAACCATAGATCTGTGTACCAAGCTAAGAAAACCTAGCCACTTCAACAGTAATATATATTTAATATGATGGGCAGAGTTTTCCTCCGACATGTGTGGTGTTCTTTGCCAACAAACCAAAGTTCCACCAATTTGCATACAGAGATAGATACTACCATTAATGAATCTGAGAATGGAAGCTGTTAGTGAAGAAAGAAAAAAACTTTCAGGCACCAATTTAGATAAATTATCTGATGCTTCATCTATCAACAGATCAATAAATAAATTTGACTAAAGGGAAATGCACTGAATTATGTACCAAAGTACAATGCAGCATTTAAAGCTAATGGCTTTGAATTATCGAGAACTTCAACCATTTATCAAAGTGCAAAGAAGCAATTATTTTGGAAATATTGTTCCTTTTTATTTATCACAAAGCCATTTCATCCCTTTTAAATATTGCTATTTTGGTTGCTTAAAGAAGGGTTTCTGAAATGAGGGAACGGAAGGAACACAGTGGTAATGAGCTGATCAAAGAATCAAGGCTAGATTTTTGTTGTGCAGGAAAGCCAGTTTAGTAAAACAATTCCGCTTGGGAATCTAGTGTACTCCTTTCTTTAGCAGCTTGCTAAAAATATATGATGGACACAGCAGCGAATAAGGGCACTCTATGTATGTTTTAGGAACACAGATTGTACTCGATCTTTGGATAAGCTCTCAATTGACATACACCCTCACTTCCTTCTAAAATAAGTGGCAGTTTCCCTGGGTTTACATAATCCCAGGACAACAGGTTTTTGAATTAGTGGTGCCAGCAATGCCTCCATGTTCCACGTTACCACACCTCTTTTAACATAAAAGCACAGGTGTCATAGAATCTTTCTTGCACATAAATGGAAAACAATGTAGGAAATGCATGTTATTCTGAGAGGTGGTGTGCAGAATAGATTCCAGATTGGCTTGGAATCTAGATAGAGGAAGATGCGATGCTTCTGCAGTTTTTGTGTCACCAAAATAACAGAAGAAAGCAGCTTTGAGCTTTGTTTTGCTTTGCACTGAAGGTGCCAGAGCAGAGAAGAATTAAGACACGGTTGAACTCTTTGTATACTTGAATGTTCTCTTATCTGTCTTAGCCATCAGGATGATGAAAATGAAGTGTACAGCCGTAGAATGTCCACTGTTCCTTACTGAGTACATTTTGGGTATGGGAGTAGAAGATAATCTAGTCTGCCTTGTGAATGAGGTTATTTAAAAGGCCTATTCTCCAACCCAAGACTTTTTATGGAAACTTCATGTCATCCAACAACCGGTTATTGAGTACCTTCTCTGTTGCAGCACACAGCAGGAATATATTGCAAAATTTGTGTGTTAGTAATTATAGAACATTTTTATTGCACACCAAATGCATCTTCTTGCATTACATACCTTAAAATATGGGTTAGTATTATTATCTCCTCTAATGTAATGAACACTGAGCTAGTCACCACAGTAGTTATTTGGCTAAAAATGTAGAGGGAAATTCATTATCTGACCTTCATGAGATTTCAGATGAGATTCTCCTGAAGGCTGAGCTCCTAACTGTCAACAGTCAGGGGAAATGCGAAGAATGGTCCAACACTTTTTCTTCATGTGGAGAAAAGAAGAAACTGTCCACCTTTCTCCTACGAGGTGGGAAACACTTTTTCTCTGGTCATCCAGGAGAATATTTTCCACTTGTATCTAATGTATTGTAGACGCCATCAGGAATGTGTGCTTATCTCCTTAAAGCTTCAGATAACATCATTTGGTCCTTCAGGGTGACAGTTAAATCTAGAGAGATAAAATCCATTCCTTGGACTAGATTCAACCCTTTCCCTGGAGCAATCAAGAGCCCTGAATATATCTGCTGAAATTCTTAATGATTATGTTCATTAAGCAAATTATTGTTACTCGCTCTTCTTTATCCCAGCCTCACAAGGGCAAATGAGAACACAGCCTTGGAAGAAGTAAAAGGTCAAACCAACCGACTCAAATGTAAAGGAAAGATATCGGTAAGAACATACATCCTTACAAATGGAAGGATTGTGATATAGAATTAACCATTATTTTATTTGCTTCTTTATTGCAGATAACACAATGCTGGTTTGCAGATGGCTTACAACGAACTCCTGGCATGAAGAGTAAAGCTACAAAGCACAAAACAATGGGGGAAAAAATAAAATCCTACAGACAAATGAACTTGGGATAGAACAAGGGAGAAAAAGTGAATTTTCATGGCATCGAAGAATTCTTTATTTTTTTCCTCAAGTTTTCTTTTCTTAAAAAACAAACAAAAATAAACAAAAGGAACTAAGACATTGACAGGAACCATTTTTCTTCAGGTGACAGTACTCAAGCATGTTCTTTTATTACATTTAACTTGAAAAAAAAGAAAGAAAGAAAAACTGAATGAACATAGTGCTGAGTGAACTGGGCCACTGGTGATGATATTTGCTGTACATCCAACTTTCCTTAAAATTCCCAACTTTCAATCCCTCCGGTTACTTACACCCTATGTGTTTGTAAAGAAACAAGTTCACCCTGCAGTATTTAGAGAATGGTTTGCAAATGTATCTTTTAATATCATATTTTATGGATATTGTACTATATATATTTAACTAGAATGGGCGTAACCTGGACTTTAAGAATCTTCTCCTTTCAGGCAATTTTCATTTGCTATCAAGAAGACTTTTCGATTATTTAATACTTGAGCTTGTTTTACTGAACTTTTAAGTGCAGAAAGCAAAATCAGCCATGTGCTATTCTCCTCAGAGAGGAGAATCCAAATAACAAACTGGAATTCCTAGGGGGTTATTTGAAGTCTTTATGTGTGTTTTATTTTTCCAAGCAGAGTATAGAAATCAAATTTCTTCAAAGACCAATTTAACCCATTGCAGAAAAGTAATTGTTTTTAGGAGCAGGGATATCCCTGGTGTGTGTCCCTGTTTTAAAACATACTGTCAGGCACTTTATACATTATTTTCTTGGATGAAAACAAAAAAAAGTGTTGGGCAGTGACATTATGCTTGCAAAATTGTAATATGCAATTCAGCTTCTGCTTCTTTCCCCCCAAAATATGCTTGCAGAATTATTCACTGACTTTTTCCAGGACCTCTATTGGATATTTCCTTCACTCTCTCTCTCCCTCCCTCTCTCTCTCTCTCTCTCTCTCTCTCTCTCTCTCTCTCTCTCTCTCTCTCTCTCTCTCTCTCTCTTTTAAAAAAAATCAGTTCAGACTGTAATTATGGGAAACAAAGCTATTATGCCTATCTCAATCTTTTTTTTCTTTTTTCTTTTAAAAAAAGTTCAGACAGTAATCATACGAAGCAAAGCTGAGAGAATTAAGCCTAGCAAAATTACGCCCGTGCCATTCATATTTCCCTCCCATCTGTTTTTCTGCTGGTCATGATTGCTATCATTTCATTTAATGCTAACTAATCTGTAGCTCTAACCTTCTCTAGATGATAGGATTGGAAGATTTCCAATATTGGCACGTTTCTTTCTCTCCACCTCCCTAACACCCCCCACCCTACCCCCTCCTCTCTGTCTGAAAATATATATATATATCTATACTCTGCATGGGTTGGTCTTTCTCCTCCTTACTTGCCCTGCCTGCCAATTCTTTCCTGGATCAGCTTCTCGCTGAGGTCCCACAAGGCAGCCGCATCCATTCCGTTCTGCGCCTGTTGCGATGGCACGCAGCGACAGCAGTTGTTGAAATACATCCCTCCCAGGCCTTCCAGTTCTGCTGCGACAGCACAGTAGACAGTGGTGGCAGCTCCTTGTTGCTGTAATTAAAAAACAAAACAACGACAAAAAAGAGTGAGGGGACATGTTGTGAATGCAAAGGTTAAAACCAGGCAGGCTTGACAAAGCCCGTGTGCTCATCAAGGGCAGATTAGCAACTTGGCCTGGATTCAGAGTGAGTCCAGAAGGGCCCTGCCCTGCGCCATCCATCTTATAATTAGTGATGTCTAGTTAAGTGTGCGTGAATCCATCTTTTCTCATGATGAGTAAGGATGCTCCTTTAAGTAGTAGCTCAATAAAAGTAGCTTGAAAATCACATGAATTCTAGCCTTTTCCCCCAATCAATTTGATGAAGTGTTTTCCAGAAAGGAGCATGATTTAAAAGGGAGGAGTGGATGGCTGAAACCAGCCTAGGGCCACTAAAGTTGATAATCTGTTCCCACGACTGACACAGAGGTTTTGTTAGCATTTGAGGTTAAAAGTGAATGTAATTTGAACAGCTTCAGGATGAATGATTTGGGGGGGGGGCTCTTTTCTCTCTGCCTAGGGGTGGTTGTTTTCATTTAAATTGTAAACCAAAGCTTGAAGATGTGAGCTTGCTAGTTGTTTTGGGTAGCTAAACTTGCCATCTCATCTCTAGCAAAAAGAGATAGAGAAAACAACAAATAAGACCCTCTATGGCTGTCCTTTGCAGTGAGGCACAGTAGGGGTATACATCCAGGTACAGATTATGAAGTGCATAGACGAAGTGACAACAGACATAATTCCAGAGAAGATGCACAACCTGTGTTTGTTTCGGATTCACCAGCAAAGGTCTTTCTTGCTTCACCCCTATGAATAATCATTCCTGAAATGAAAGATCTTCTGCAAGATCTCCCAACTTTTTTGCTGGGGGGAGAAAAGAGAGGTGGGAGACTAAATCAGCAATTTCATGACCGCAACTGGGGCTAGGAGAAGATACCAACTCCTGTCATAGAAAGGAAGGAGATGTGCTACCTTGCTTCTAAATGGATTGGATGCCTATCACTTGGCAGAAGTAAGCATTTGGATTGGATGAAGAGATCCATCCAAAGTGTAAAATGTTGCCCCAAATATTTTTACATTGAAAAGAATTACCCCACCTGCAAATCTGTTGTAAACTTCAATAGGACAGTTCATTTGGAGAATGAATTTGAAATTAGGTCACCCATCCTTTGGGATTTCAGATCCTGATTGCTGAACTAGGTAACTGATCACTCTCTGATTTTTTATTCCAAATAAATCTAAGAGATGTCCACCATGTCAGCGGCATAGAATGCAATTGGAAATGCTGAAATTGTCTATGTGCATGCACACACATATATATGAATGAAGTCTTAATTGATGAAAAAGGATCTCTTCTAATGAATATCTGTTCATTGGGGAATGATGTGATAGTGCTCATCTAAAGATCTAACCTGTTAAGGTATGGACTTAAAACTAGTTCTGGAGGTCTCTGTTCTGACACAGTGGGAAAGATATTAAATTAGGGTGGAGTTTCAATTGTCCAAATTTGTGGAAAAGGATGGAGATTTGCTTTGTAATCTATTTAAAGACATTCTTATATTCCAATAAGACACTTTCAAATCTAGAATCTATAAGCTTATTATTTTCAGTGGAATATCCTTTTTTTTGTTTTTGTTTCTATGTTTGGAAATGTGTTGCATTCGGTTTTTTCTAGCAGAAGAAACAAAAAACCTTGGTTAAACTACCTACTACTACTTTTGTAAAAATATGACATAAATTAATCATAACCCAGTGCAGAAACTTACTCTTTTAGTTAGTGTTTCAGCAAGTCTGAATAACTTTATACCATAAATATGTTATGTTATAGATCAATATAAAGAATAGCTGTCCTTTCCATTGCAATTTCTAAATATTGCATTTCTTAAGGGTAGAAAAAAGCTATTAACTATGCAAAATATTAATTTTCCCTTGCCTGTCAAACTTCATATTATCCAAATTTCTGAAAAGTCTGACTCCAATTATGAAATTATAAGGGAGATTTCTTATTAACTGTTATTTATCCTAGTGTGAATATAGTTCTTTAATATATATTTTGGGGCAAAGTGGGGATACAAAATAAAAGCAAATGTTATTTAAAATATTATTATTCATAACAATGACAACAGAAGAAAAAAAAAGGCCCATTGAGAATTAATTGTATGCTTTAAACACCCTTCCTCATTACATACATCACATATTGCTCGGGCTATGACCTAACTAAATTGAATGTTTGTCAAATAATCACAGGCATTTTAATTAGAGCTGTCACTGAATTAAAGGAATTTGAGTTGTGTAATTGGATGAGTTTAGTCAATTGGCTGCCTTTGTGTAAATTTGCATAACCTAATTTGTGCATGTGTCTACTTACATAAGACCAACAGAACTGAAGGAAGTCCTATTTCTTTTGTTAGAGATATTTTTTTCCAAGAACACGATCTGTTCAGTCTTGGTTTTTTGGTGGAATGAGCCAAGGAAATTCCTCCAAGTAGGATGCTAATGAAACAGCTTTTGATTTCTATATTAGAATCTAAATTTGTTGCCTGAGTGGATGTAGCTGGAGAATGGCAAAGTCCAGTTTAAAGAGCAAGGGGAAATCCCTTTTCTTTGTTGTTGTTAATTGCGAAGTCGTGTCCGACCCATCGCGACCCCATGGACAACGTTCCTCCAGGTCTTCCTGTCCTCTACCATCTTCTGGAGTCCATTTAAATTCACACCTACTGCTTCAGTGACTCCATCCAGCCATCTCATTCTCTGTCGTCCCCTTCTTCTATTGCCCTCAATCTTTCCCAGCATTAGGCTCTTCTCCAGTGAATCCTTCCTTCTCATTAGGTGGCCAAAGTACTTGAGTTTCAACTTCAGGATCTGGCCTTCTAAGGAGCAGTCGGGGTTGATCTCTTCTAGGACTGACCGGTTTGAACGCCTTGCAGTCCAAGGGACTCGCAGGAGTCTTCTCCAGCACCATAGTTCAAAGGCCTCAATTCTTTTGCGCTCAGCCCTTTCCCTTTTCTTAAATGAACCCAATTAATCACAGGGTTTCATTAAAAAAAAACACAACTTGCTTGGAAGTTCTAAAGGCTTGATTTGAACAACATTAGTTTGGATCTGTTCAGTTCATTGGCTACATTCAGGAATAGCGCAGCAGCTCTGGAGAAGTAGAATACAAAAAGTATACTTTTTGACCTTGCTGGTTTATCTACAAATTTGGAAGGCTCATGGGTGACCCTTTAAGTGATAAAGCCCATCCTCTGCTCCCCATTCTGTCAAGAAAGCCTTGTCCAGTAGATAAGGGACAGTTGTTCTGGAATAATGCTATTTTAGGAAAATTGCAAGACATTTAAAATTGTGATTTGTAACCAAGCTGCCATCTTGATCACTTAAGGAAAGGCACCGGCTAGAACCACAAGACCCATCAGCTGCTCAGGATAAGGAGCAACTCCAAAAGGACCATATTCCATGCCCCATGTCCAAAATTCTTGCCAGATGGATAAAATATTGTTTGGTTAAAATTCATAAATTGAGAAGAGATAAAGAGGGAGAGCTTCTTCCTTACCATCTTTCTAGTTCTAGTGTCTGTTCCAGTAGGAACCAATTAATGGCCATCCTCCACACTGCTGACATAAGATAAAGCGTCTTCTAGGTTCGTTGTTGGTGCTTGCCTGTACCAGGAACTTTGTACCACACCAGGACATTTTGTACTACCCCTTTAAACAGCTTAATTAAAAACTTCTCAGGCAATGATGGTGTGACTTGTTGCAAATGGTCTTCGAGGATCTATTGTGACTTTTTTTAAGGGAAAAATTCTGTAAGTGTTTCAGCAATCTCAACAACTTTTGTTTCACTTCTTTTCAATCAAAAGATTGCCTGTTCCATATGCCATTAATGATTTAGGAAGAGGCCCATTTGTATTAACCTCTGACAAAATCTAGTATGTATATGTGTGGAAAGATGTCACTGCAGTTGTTATGCTAGTAACATGGTTGTTAAGTGAATCTGGTTTCCCTATTGAATTTGCCTGGCAGAAGTTTACAAAAGGGGATCACGTGACCCCGGAACAACTGTCACAAATATCAACCAGTTGCCAAGCATCCGAATTTTGATCACATGACCAACGGCTGTACGTGTGAAAAACAGTCACAAGTCACTTTTTCTGAGCTGTTGTAACTTTGAATGGTCACTAAACAAACTGAGCACTGCCTATATTCAATGGGCAAGAAGATATGGGGAGAGTTGACGAGTGATCTCAAATAGCTAAGGAAGTTCCTTAAGATATCTGGCCTTTTTTTAGCATAGCACAGTTTTTGAAAGATATTAGAGTCTCATTCAGTATAGAATATTAGTAGCTGGTTACTACTGCACAGGCATTTTGGGTGAGATGGATAATTGCAATCAATTAGGCAATGAATACAAATTAATATTGAACTGTCTTAATGCTACAGGGGAAGAGGGCATTTTCATAGGCATGTGTGGTTTTTAAAATCTCATTATTATAAGTAATGCAGCCATTAGTATTCTAATATAGTCTAGTGCTCCTGGTGGAAAGACATTATAGGCCTAATGTTTAGTTTTCAGACCTTGATGTTTTCAAAGTGGTTATGTTTGCTAAAATTAGCATCTAGTCCTAAAACATAGCAACTCCGTACACACAAAGGAAAGGAAAGGAAGGAAAGGAAACTTTAAATAACAAAATCTAGTTAATTAGTTCTAAATAAGGAGGTGAAAAGTCCCAGTGAGCTTTAGAGCTGTATGAATGAAGAACTATTTATAAAAGTGATGTAATGATGATTATAGCAACATTATAACATGAAGAGAATCAGTTGAAAAACTACAATGCACAGTGAGTTCATTAGGACATGTTTCTGAGTTCATAGCAGGTAATTCTCAAGTAGAGGAATGATTTTTAGATATTCCCCATTAAAATGGCCACAGTTTGTGACTTGAGTGTGGATACAAATGCTTTCAAGGAGAAAGAGAGATACACCAGAAAGATAAAGTAACTTGATGGTAGTTTGAATTTCCA